GCGTTATACACTTTAGATCAGGGGTGGCCAGCCATGCAGAGACCAAGAGCCCCATTTTTTACCGCCAAGAGCCACATCATACACATCAACACCCCATTCCCCCCTTACACACATGCATAGCGTTGCTCAGGCAGATTTATTGTAAATCTCACACACTGACATGATGACCAGAAACTGACTCCCACACTATGATGACCACAGGCCAGTCATTTTCACCAGTACACATTATGTGCACAGTCTCACAATGACAAACTCTCAGTCCACAAACAAAAATATAATAGTCGGCCATTGATTTTTCCTTTGACTATGCGTGTTACTTAGTGGGACTTCTGGCATATAAGGCAGAATGGCTGACATGATGTTGCTCCTACTGGGAAACTTGGAGGTATTTTCAAAATTCACTGCTGATGTCGCCTTTACATTCAGCTCTGTAATGGTGGCCTAACTTTGGCACATCTCAGTGCTGGAACCTTTGTGTTCCAAATAAGAAAGAGGTTGCTGCTCATCAGCAATTAAAGTCTGGCTTGTTTAATTAATTTGACAGGATGTCATTAGTGTGTGTGTGTTTTTAACAGACCTCTTTTGAGGCACTTCCTTTGATGGAGAAGCTTTTCTCTCATCCCTGGGATTTTTATTAATTTTCAACAAGACCCATAAATTCCCTGGAAAAATGATTTTGAAAGCACGGGTAATGTTAGGCTGTCATCAATTTAAGGATTTAGAATATCAATAAGGTGTAATATAAATGTTAGAATTGTTTAGGTACACATTGCTGTTTATGGTGATCTTTATATTTTTCTTTTTTTTTTCAGGCCTCCAGCTTTAATCTCCTGATGGTAATGGGGATAGAAAGAAATTGACTTACAGCCTTCCTATTGATTAACATGTTCTTTTAGCAAATAGAATCTGTCCCAGTCATTTTATGTCTTCCTTTATGATGTTGGCAGAACATTTGTTTAATCTTCATAATGATAAGAAACTGCTAATCACCTTGTTAACACGTCCATTGAACCTGCTGTGTTATCACTCCTCAAACCCACATGAAGCAACCAGAATGATGCAGTAAGTGTTGTGGACATGGTAGTTTGGCCACAGACTTGTATCCTAAAGCCTAAGATCAATTCTCCTTTGGATTGTAAGCTTGCAAGTCCAGCTGCCTTGGAACTTAGTTGGGGAGTAAAATTAGCATGGATCTTTCTGTAGGTATTTACTGGTGGTGCATGTCCAGTAACATTCACAGAAATGTTTCCCAGCAGCACACGGCCTCTTTGAGATTCTCTCCCCCTCTTCCTTTATCTGGAAGAGAAAAAAAATCATGACATTTTCTTCCTCGGTGAATTGTGTTCAAATCGTTTTATTTATCTCATCAAAGATGTTCAAAGCACACAGTGGAGAGAAAGTTTGTGGACCTTGTTTTTATTAATCAGTGGTGGCAGCCATCTTAGTGCGGCTCCTCATATCTCGTATCAGTGTCACCGTGGGCACACAGACCTGATCAATATGAGAATATCAATGAAATGTAACATCCCTAACACCACACAGAGCGGAAACCCTCAGCACGTCCGTGTGATAATGTCTGTCTAAGGTGGAAGTTTTGTCATTCATAACATTTCAATTGGCTTGCATAACTTCTGTTACATAATAGCACTAAAATAGAAGTCTATTATTTGGCTGATGGCCACATGTAGGAAGACTTGGAACAAAAAATAAATTAATTAACAAAAGATAAGCTCCGATTGGAGGAATGTTTTCATCTTGAAACAAAGACAGTCGGATAGAAAAGTGGTCGGGTTGCTTTCTGTTGGATTGATTATGTTTCTACAGTCTGTTCCACATTCGGTAAAGTACTGAATGGCATTGTTTTATCATGCAGATGAGATGAGCCTAAAAGCAGCTCATCAGGACCAAGTGGCTGACTCATAATTATCATCCCAGTTTAGATGATTATACATTTGACTCGCAATTGCTTTGAAATGCTTATTTTGGCATTTTCACATAGAATATGAGGTTTTCTTACATTTTTTTGTGTCATGGGTGGTGCTTTTGGCATTTCATGCTGTCTAGAAAGCCCTCTGTGTACGTGTCACTGCACTGACAGATTTGAAATGCAATTGTCTGAATTATAGTTGCCGTTTCCTGTGAGGATGAGGCCTGTGCGCTGGAACAGGATAAATCTTCTCCTGCCCTTTTGCCATTTGATCGGCAAAGTTTCATTCAGAGGTTCCTGCTGTATTGTGTTTGGAGGTGGGTGTGGGGGGGGGTTAACATCCGTCTGTACAGGATCTGACATACACATCTGTCAGTATCAGACCACACGGAGTCACAGCCCCACCTTGGCCTGGTAAAGGTGACTTCTGCTTTCCTTTTAAAAACACAGAATTGCCACAAATTTAGTTTGATGAGGTAATGCTTTAACGTTGTTTTTCCAGTGGATTTAAATCAAAAGCTTAAGTGTTTAGCTGTACATATTTAACTGATGTGTTGGTTATTCTGACAGCGGTACACAGTGCATCTGCATGCTGTAGATTTAGACTGAATTTTAAAGGATTTGAATCACTTCAGTACCAAAGGAGGACAAGTGCAAGCGAGCAAAAGATCTGGAATAATAAGTAGGATTAGTATGTTAGACATTGCTGAATGAGTATTCAAAGCCCAGAAAATAGATGGAACATTGCTAAGCATTGAGCGTTCCTTAATCAGGTTTTAATGTTTGAGGAAGTGCCTTCAAACACAGATTAAGCCCCATGAAGGAAATTAGATTTAACATCATGATCTAGCCCTGCATGGTGAAGAGCAGATGGAGAACATGTTTGGGCCTTTTTTGTTTATTTTTATTTATTTTGGTTGGTACAGTCAATTAAACCATTAAGCAGTCTCTTTATGTATATATACATTACTAAATATTACTATATTACTATACTAAATAATGTCAGTTGGGATCAAGATCAAATTTGGTTAGGTCATTGGCAGCCATTACAGTGACTGGCAGAAAGTCCTCATTAAGATAATATTTTATGATAGAGACCAGGCCAGGGGCCTACATATTGTCATGGTTTCAAATCAAGCATCTACGTTGATTGCAGTCATTCAGTGGATTTATTCTAATTGCTTGTAAGATCAATGCACAGTTTAAAACCAAAGCTACACCACAAAGCTTGCCTTTTCTAATTTTGCTAATGCTATAAGGTGTCCTTTGAACTTAAATGTATATGTTACTTACTTTTCAGCCAATTTATGAAAGAAAATTAGTTCATCTGACACTAAGCCATACAAAGCTATTTAGCCTTTTGTCTGAAGTCCTTGAGGAAGCTCTCCAGAAAAATGGAAATGATAGGAACGTTGGTTATATAACATACTCTCCTTTGTTATATCAAACAGGGGTAACAGTTCCATTTTAATTGGTTATTTCACATCACCCCACTTATTATCCATTGATTTGATGTAAATGTGGCTTTTGAGAACTTGTTATAATTGGTTATGAGAATGTGGACAGGTCAGTTGGGATCGAGACAATTTGAATGTTAATGGGCTTTCCTTTTTCTTCCCGTCTCCGTTAGATTTATGATTTGCTCTGAGGTGCTGCTTAAACTAATTTAACACGTGCTGCACAGAGACTTTTAATCCTGTCCCTTCTTTTTTTAAATGTACCTGAAAAATAACCGGGGCCCGGTGTGTTTAATAACCCGAAAGGTTTTCAACGCTGTGAGCTCCACCAGTGTGTAATTTAAAACGCGTAGAAGCGTCGCCTGGTTACCCGAGAAAACAGGATGTGTCTCATGCTGATAACCTGAGAACAAACTGCCGTCCACATTTTGAAATGGCAGCTTCCTTCTTATAGATTCAATTGTGTGAACTTTTAATACCCAGTTCTTTTGGAAGGCAGGCTGGTCTCAGCTTCTTTGGCAGCCTTTCCATTATTATTACATATTGATCACTACTGAATTAGTGGATTTTAAATGACATCAGGTTATCAAGGATGCCTACTTTCAGGACAACATTCAGTCCAGAGGAATGTGAGTGTAACTATTGGTTAATGTTTTTCACCTCCCTCAAGGATGCAAATAATAATTAGTTAACAATACCTCAATATTTAAAGACCAACCAGATACTTTCTGATGTGTGAATCTTGATTCATGTTGGTGTCTTTTGTTTCTGCTTTTTAGCATATTTAAAAAAGAGAGAGATGAGGAAAATCCACCAACTGGCCATTAAAGATTCTTGAATTGTTCCTTTTTTTAATTTTTTTTTTTTTGCTAAATTGTTGTAGTGATTTTTGAAGTAAGGTAAAGCACAGAAAGACACCCATTGGTCCTCTCCTATCGAAATGCAACTTTCATATTTAGTTTTACTTTCTTGTATAACTTTATGGAGTATGATAAAACTTATACTTACTTTGAACTTTCACAAAGTGCCCAAAAACCATCAGATACCGGTGCACACAAACTCCACTTGAATTGTGGCTTCCATTGAGCTGCTGTTGACTTAGAAAAATTGATTCAGTCACAGCATCAGTGCCTTTTTATCAGACTTAAGCCCCACTAAAACACATGCCAACAAGAACACAGGACGGGTATTTGGAAATAAACCCTAATCCTCGTTCCCTCTGCCCCTGTGCTTTCCTCAGTTTACAGGTCCATCGGTGGGTTTGGGAGATAGATCTCTTGAGATGGATTGGGATTTGTGTAGGGAAAGCTTGCCACCTAGGGGGGACAATGCAACACTGCCATTCTTCTTGATTCCACTGAACCACTGTTTTTCTTCTTCTGTCTTCTCTCTTCTGTCCATAACCCTTTTTCCGTTGTCTTATAAGTGCTGCTCTATTATGTAAGAGAATTCTCGTATTGTAGGGCAGTGTATTTCCTTTGTACCTTGATCATTTGTTATCTGCTGAGATTCAGCTGTGTGTCATGTGTTCATGTGATAAAATGATCAAATTGATGTTTGAGCTTACAACACATTCTAAAAAGCATGGTCTCCATCTCTCCTGTTGTCTTTTCCAGGTCCGATGTCCCCCTCATTTGATGGTTGAATAGTGCGGATCCTTGTTCATCTACAGTCACATCCTGTACACTGTAGCTTAATGGAGGGTTTTCCTGTCCACTGACCTAATAGGCTGCCTTTCCGGACCAGCAGCCATGTCTGCCTGCAGCACCTTTACAGAGCACGTGTGGAAACCAGGCGAGTGCAAGAACTGCTTTAAGCCGAAGAGTCTGCACTGTCTGGCTCAGAGTGGTGGTGGGAAACCTCCATCTGAGCAAAGGCCTGCATCCAATCAGCAGCAGATTCCTCCTCCTGTTGGGGCTAGAGCTAACCCCAACCTTATTACACACTCCCAGAGGGCTGGTAGTGGATCTGCACGCTCAGGACACTTTCGTCCACCTGTGGCCAAAAAACCCACCATTGCTGTTAAGCCCACTATGATGCTGCCCTGCTCTTCTGCAGTGCTGGATTCAGATGGCAACCCACAGCATCCAGTAAATGCAACAGAGCAAGGCAAAACATCGGCTTTTACTTTGTGCAATCGCAATGGACTCAACTGTAAGAGACCCAGCGGGCCAAGCAATAACAACGAAGGCGAGGAAGGCAGCGAGGAGATTGAGGGTTATGGCCATCTTAGCCCAAGGACTCCCAGTGGAAATAACAACAGCGGATTGACAGATGTCCTTAAGGAGATTGCTGGTTTGGGCCCTGACTGTTGCCCCACACCCCAATCTGGATCCAAGGACTTATTTTGGGGACGAATCAGTAGTTCATATCGAAGGTCCTTAGAGAGAGGCCTACCAGCCTCCAGCTGTCTGGCCATAGGGAGCAGCAGCAGTGGTGGTGGTGGTGGTGGCGGCACTGCCCTAAAGAGAGTATCCCTTAGTAATAGTACCGAAATCATCAGCACAGAAGGTGGACGCTTCTGCTACCCAGAGTTTTCCAGTGAAGGTGAGGATGATGATGATGATGACTATGAGGATGAAGATGAGGATGAAGACACTGACCAAGATGATGATGAACATGAGAGCTGGGATGAAAGTGATGAGGAGTTACTTGCCATGGAGATCCGTATGCGAGGCCAACCGCGTTTTGCAAATTTCCGCGCAGCCACGCTGTCACCTGTGCCCTTTGCTGCAGGGAAAAAATGGAACACTGTGCCACTTCGCAACCGCTCCCTACAGAGGATATGCGCCGTGGACTATGACGATAGCTATGATGAGATCTTAAATGGATACCCCTCAATGAATTCCAATGGAAGTTTACTTCCCTATGGTCCACGTGATATGCAGGGCAGTGCTTTCATGTCAAACTCAGAGTCTACTACTTCTCCAGAATCGTCATCGTCCCTCCCAGATTCTCAAACAACTTCGAGCAGTGGGGGCAGTGCCCACTGTGCTCTTAGAAACGGCTTACAATCCCCCAAATCCTGTAAGCCACCTGTCCCATGTACCTCACCCACGAAAAAGGAGTCTGTCAGTAGATCTATCAGTCCTCTCAAGCATGCTGAAACGCATACGGCTGTTCTGGCCATTAGGTTAGAGGACAACGATCGCAGAGAAGGAATGCCGATGCCCAAAGCACTTCCAGGTCAACCCGTCACTATAAGTTTTAGCCCCACAGAAGAGCAAGCAAAACCATACCGTGTAGTAAATTTGGAGAAATCGCTCATTTGTAAACCTTACACTGTGGTTGATGTGTCTGCATCCATGGCTAGTAGGGATGAGCAGTTCCCTGATTCTTCCCTACAGCCCAAAAACCTTTCAAAGCCCACTAGCCCCACGTTATTTAGCAGCACTTCCGTGGTCCAGCCCCTCTCTCCAATGTCCCCGATGTTCCCATCTTCTCCGGTGATGCCCACATCGCCACCTTCTGCTGCTCTGTCCCCCCGAAAGAAATCAGGCTGCGTTCGCTACCAGGAAGTGTGGACCTCAAGCACCAGTCCTCGACAGAAAATACCTAAAGTGGATCTGGCAGCTGGAAGTAATCCTGGCCCCTCCATCCCTGCCCAGTTCTGTAGTCACAAATCAGCCCCTACATCTCCCATTGCTGGGCTGTCTTCCTCCCGAACTGTACCCGTGAAATCCCCAAATTTATCTGAGATCAAGTTCAACAGCTTTAATAATGCAGGCATGCCTCCTTTCCCCATTATTATTCGAGATGAACCCGCCTATGCCCGCAGCTCTAAAAATGCTGTCAAGGTACCTATCGTCATAAATCCAAGTGCATATGATAACCTCGCTGTGTATAAGAGCTTCTTAGGACTCCATGGAGAACTTCCACAGGCAAAAGGGGTCGGTAGCAGGGTAACTAGCCACACCTATGAGGAGATTGGCTCTTCTGAGAGTGTCCAGACCTCATCCACAGAGAAAACTCTTTCCGGTAGAGGCACATCAACGCGAGCCTCATTTGAGGAGATTAAACTTTCCCCAGAAAAGGGGTCTAAAGCAGCAAATTTGCAACCTAGAACCACTACAGATTCCAGCACTGTATTAAGCACTGTAATGACCTCCACAGCTGGGGCCCTCTCTCCTTCTCTGTCAATAAATTGTCCTGCCAGCACTGCACACCAAACTAAAACCAGCCTTGCTGCTAACGCCGTCACACATAAAACAGGTAGCGATGCTTCTTGCATTAAAGATGACGATACAAACTTGAGTTTTTCCTGTGGGACCGTGGTGGGACATAGAGAGGAGGCCAGTGCTGTGCTCTCACAGATTGTGGCTTCTATCCAGCCCCCACAGTCCCCTCCAGAGTCACCCTCAGCACAGTCCAAGACTTTCAGTTCTGAAGAGCTTTACGCCCTCCCACCCGATGCCATGAAAGAGTCACCTCTTCGACCCAAGTCTCTCTTTTCCACCCACGAAGGCTGCCTTTCCAAGCCAAAGAAGGACAACACATCAAAAGTTTTATCAAAATCCCAGAGTGCCTCTGCTGCCGTCCCACTCCCCAGTCCTAGGTCGGAGCCCAACCCCCCCTTTCCCCCTCCAAGGTCCACATCTTCTCCTTACCATGCTTCCAACATAATCCAGAGGCATTTTGGTAACTGGACCAAGAGCTCAGCGTCCAGTTCCCCTCTACGACCCAGCGAAGGTGAAGCAAGCCCTGGTGGAGAGGGAAGACGTGTCCCAGCTGAAAGTGCCAAACCCAAACGCTGGATCTCCTTCAAGAGCTTTTTCCGTCGACGGAAAGACGAGGATGAGCAGAGGGAAAAGGCAGAGAAGGACAAGGAGAAAGGCAAGCTGGTCGGGCTAGATGGAACGGTCATCCACGTTCTTCCACCTCCACCTGCCCAGCATCAGCACTGGTTTGCTGAGGCAAAACCAGAGGATCCCACCCAAAAACCGACTATTATATTCACATTCAAGCCAGACACAAGCAGTAATCCTGGCAACGGAGAAGGAGAACTACGAATAGAGGAGTGCAGAGAGACTGATATACTATCAACCCATGAGAGCAAGGAATCTGCTCCTCCGAGCCCAGGTCAGACTTCCAAAAACGCTGGAGGAGATGTCATCAGCAAGGACCCCAGGTATGTCCAGCTTTTTGTCAAACAGTTACTTTAACTCCAGTTACTCGGAAAAAAGACGTAGCTCCATTTGTTTATTAACCAAACAATCCATCCATTTTCTAGACATTCCATTCTTAGCCGGGTATTAGTGGGGCTCCAGCCTCTCCCAGCTGCAAACAGAAGACTAAATATGACAGAGGAGTCAGTCCTTTATTTGATGATCATAGCACCAGTTAGTGACATAGTGTGCAACATCATCTTAGTATTTAGAAATAAATTCAGTATCCTGTAGAACTGCAGTCACCAGTACAGAAGATACTAAATGTAGTTGTCCAAGCTTCTTTTGGAAAAGCCATGTGGCCTGTGACTGAAAACTATAATAAATCCTGAGCCTAAATCTGGATCAGTTTCAAAGTTAATCACACAGAGATCCTGAGTAACTTTGAGTAATCCCACTCCTTTAAAAGATGACAGCAGAGGGAACTCGTAGTGAGTCAGTCAGTTCAGTTCTGCCTGTATCGGTCCCCGGTGACCTAATGAAAGAGTTCACATGCAGCTCAGCCTTTCCATTAACATGAATCCCCTGGAGTGGGCACACAGGTTTCAGCTAAAATTGAAGCTATTTAATCATCAGCTGCTGCTCTAACGTGGCAGAGTTGAATCTCCTCTGACAGATTTCTTAATCTTCAGAGATTTAATAGGCAATGGGTCTTAATTATGGAATGTCTACTTGGTTGCTGAACTTTCCCTTCTCTGTTGCGCATATATTTCCTGACCTGTAGACTTTGGGCTCACTATCTGAACACTTTTGAATCCAATTTTTTAAAGATTAGCTCAGTACACATAATTCAAGTATAACTAATCTGTTTTGCCTCTGTTGTTGCGGTATACTGTTATACTTTTGTAGTTGACCTGTATTTTCTTTCATAAATGATTAACCTGTTTGCCCTCTCAAACAGGAGGCAAAGTTTTATCTTGGCAAAAGATCAGAAACTGCATCCTGAAAGCCCAGTTAAAAAGATACAAGTTTGACAAGCCATATTCCCTCCCTCCCATACCAAATCCCATCAAACAAGTAATATCTTCGACACCCTTGTCTTTCTTCAATGGAGGACATGTCTCATTTGATCGATAACCCCTCTTCACATTATTTTCATGTTTTATTGCTATTCTAGGGTTTGAGTAATGAGGAGGGCACCTTCCTATTCATATTGTGTGATGGGATATGTCATACATTCTGGCAAACCAGCTCTGAGCAGAATCTGATCTTTGACAGCTTTTACCAGCAGGCTGTCACGCAGCATCCCAATGTTTCACAAACTGCATCCCACAGCTGCTCACATTTTTAGAAATATGCCTTGTTCACAACTTGCTGACTTCCTCCCCTGAAAATTTTACCTATATACAGCTCCCTCTGTATTTCTGATTGAATTCATACCTTTTTTTCCCACCATCCCATTCTCTGTTCCATCCTAATTATGTGCTCCTACTTCTGCTCTTTCTACATCATTCTCTTTTGAGCCCAAAGCACTGTGAACTGTTAAATATTTTACTCCTCCATCCTGTCATCATTTTGGCCTCATTCTGTCTCTTTTGCAACTTCTGTGATTTGTTTTGTTTTTTTACCCCCTCCTCCTCTCTAAAATTGTCGTCACCACGTCTTTATTCCACTCTCACTTCACACCTAATACATGTTGCCCAAATAGTTTGAAGCAGAGATAGAAACAAAGAAAAAGTAGTCTTATATATTTAAGGTGTTCTTCATACCAGTGTATTTCTAACAACTCCTTATTTAAATTAACAGGTTTACAACATTTGGCACTTATTGGTTAAGAATTTTTCAGTCGTTTGGAACATGGAGCACATTTTCCCCTCACACAAGTTTAGAAAATTCCATAAGGGACAAAATACCTTTTGGAGAACAAAATGTTCCAATCAACTCTATAAGAGGCTAAAATGATCAGTGACTGACACAACATGAACAGGTTTGACATGCCGAATACATTTTTGTATTTGATTGGCAAATAAAGAGTTAACTCTGCTGTTTTTGTAACGTGTAGCAGCTTTATTAGCGAGCAGTGGGCGTGCTCTTCTGCACGGGCAAACACACATTACCTTAAACAGGTAAGAGCGCTCGTAGAGAGAGAGACGAGTCAGAGACTGAACACATGCGCGGAAATATCTGCTGGAATCCGAACAGCCGGCCACCCTGCTCCGCGTAAACCTGGTCCCACCTAGGATGTGATTTTTTTATTTTTTTTCCCCCCTTTGCCTTGTACTATTCAGGGTTTGCAAATGGGGAGCTGTGTGAGCCAGTACAGTGGGTAAGAAACCTTTGTCTGTTCCACGCCTTTGTAACCTGTGACCACCCAGGTCAGGTGAGACAATGTTGACTTAGTAGGGTGGAGGGACATTCTGATTGACTTTGCTTTCTGCTTTGGCCACTTGCAGCAGAGATTTGAGAATAAAGCTAAATACACAGAGGGTGTCCGTGCTGTCTGAACAAGTCGGGTCCTGACATGGAAACGTGTTGCAGCCATAAAGGTATTTATTGTGTCAAGGGCCTCTTAAGGCGTAGATCCACTCCAGATGCTTTATTTATATTGGTTGGGGCTGATTTCTTTTGGACCGACGTCACTTTCAGGTAGTTTGGTGTGTAAATTAATAACAAATTGGCTGTCCTTTTTTTCCTTGCCTGAAAGTAAAGAAAGTAAAGAGGAAAATGTTCCAGTAAACACAGAGCATTGCACTATGTGCCATTTTCCTCTTAATTCCTCCACTCGCATCTCAGTTTTCAGTCTTTGAGCCTCCATCCTCTCAGAGTTTGAGTTAACATCGTTATCTCCATTTTCATCAGAAGTACTTTGGACAGCGTGGAGAGTCCTAAAGTACAGTGCTGTGTTGATCTGCTCTCCTTAGAGGAGACACCATAAACAGGTCGGCTCTGGTGTTTTTCTCAGACTAGGTGCCGGAGGATAGAGACAGACACGTGAGCCGAGGTGTCGTCCTCCGGCGCTCATTGCTCTATCACGCTGCTGTGGTACTTTTGTTGGTGCATGTCTGCAAAACTTTTTATTGTATTCATACAAATGATGATAAAGATTTATTTTTAGAATGACTATTCATAGCTAAATCTTAGAATACAGAAAGGTGTTTGTGCTGATGATGACTGGTGATTAGGTCGCTGCTACAGTAGTTTGAGCTTCCAGGTTTGTACAGGAGTGTTCAAAGCCCTCCATGGTCTCCAACTAAAGCTGGCTCTGAGGTTGTTTTTGCCTATGTTTTCATAAACCATTAGTCACGTCAGGAAGATGTGTCATTACTCACACAGTCACAGGAAATTACACATCTGATTCAGGAAAACACAAATGCTATCACCAGTCCGTCCCACCCATTGTCTGACCCGTTGCTCTGACCTTTTTGTGACATTTTACTTTCATGACCTTTTTTTTGTTGATTGATTTATTTTATACTGTAGATATGAAAGATTAAGGCACCTCAGGCCTAACTAGAATAACAAGCAATCAGCATGTGAGTTTTGGAGCAGTTCCATCTGCAGGGCCAGCTCCGGCGACATGGAGTTCGAAATGAGGAGGTTGGAATGTCACTCAGCCTGGGTGGCCACAGCACAGGTGGACCAAAGCGGTCATTTCTCAGACAGATTACAGGGAAACAAGATGGCTGAACTGTTACCAAATCAGGATCAGTGAAATAGAGCGTGTTTTACCTGAGCGAGTGTGGGAAATTCACAAGTCAGTCGTTCTTATTCTTTCTTACAGTGACAGCACTCTGAGACATGACCCAAGTTTAGTTCATTACATCCTGTTTTTATAAGCACATCGTGTGTCCACACGCCCAAAGCTGTTCTTAAAAGCAAAATTACAACACTGCAGCCAAAGCCACAAAGTCTCATCAGTGATATGACCTCCTCTTTTTTTTCTTTTTCTTTTTGTTGAATTGATTTCTCAACATTTGTAAGCCTTTTTTATGTATGTTATTAGTTACAGTCATAGAAGCTGTAATGAGTCTGCTGGCAGATTAAATGAACGATAGTTGGCCTCTTTATAAACCCTTCAAACTGTAGTCGCCTTCCATCACAGGGTTGCTCAGAACCGTTTCATCCCAGTCCACCGTGACCTGCTC